CTAGAGAGGGATGCCCTAGTCCTACTGCCTTCTTACATGGCAGTAACCAAGCTTCGGTGTGATACATCCAGGGCTGTATCGCTGCAGTGACAGATGCGATCTGAATCCAGCTCTTCCAGAATCTCAGGGCAGGGCTCCCTCTGCCTGGAATCTCACCAGATGAAGCAACCATTGCCACCTCCTCTGAATGATGTTGGGATAACTGAAAAAAGGGTGACCAATGTTTGCCTACTCTCAAGAAAGACTTCATCCAAGCAGAACCATACCTGGATTTACATTTCAAAACCTGCTAGAGAGTCCACCATGCAGGAGCTCTCCAGGGCTGCTTTACGGCCTTCATGGGCCTTTTGCCTTCACGGACCCCTCCCTCCATTAAAAGATAATAAACCTGATCTTTTACGACTGCATTGGCAGAATAAAAAAAATCCAGCAAGTTATTTTCTGGATATTGAGAAACTGATTCTAAAGTTTATACAAAGACGAAAAGACATAGAATAGCTAACATAGTATTATAGAAGAACAAAGTTAAAACACTGAGACACTACTTTGCTTCAAGAATTTCTTTAAAGCTACAGTAAACAGTGTGGTATTGGTTAAAGAACAGACAAATCAACCAAAGGAAAAAGATAGAGAGCCCAGATGTAGGATTACATAATATAGTCAATAGATTTTGACAAAGGAGTAAACACAATACAATGCAGCAAAAAATAGCCTTTTCAAAAAATGGTACTAGAAGAAGTGGGCATGCACATACAAAAATATAAACCATAGACACTGAATCCTCACAAATGCTCACACAAAATGGATCATAATTGTAAACTGCAAAGCTATAGAATGCCTAGAAGATAACAGAAGAAAATCTAGATGACCTTGAGTTTAGCAATGACTTTTTAGATACAACACCAAAGCTTCAATTCATAAAAGTAGTAACTCATGACCTAAATTTTACTAAAATTAAACATTTCTGCTCTTTGAAAGATACTTTTAAAAAAGGAAAACAGAAGACACAGACATAGAGGAAATATTTGCAAGAGACATGTCTGCTAAATGACTTATCCAAGATACATGAATAACTCTTAAAACAATGGGGTATCAATAACCCAAATAAAAATATAGAAATAATAAAGGGCCAAACACCTGAACTGACATCTCACAAAAAAAAGACATACAAATGACAAATAAGCATGTAAAATGATGCTCCAAATCATATTCCATAAGTAAAAAGGAAGTAAGAATAAAATAATACTACAAACTTGTTATAAAGGCCAAAATCCAAAACACTGACACAACACCAAATCCTGGCTAGGATATGAAAGAAAAAGAACTCTCATAAATACTGGTGAGAATGCAAAATGGTACAGATAGTTTGGAAGATAGTTTGTCCAATTGCAAAATCAAATATACTATTCTATTAAGATCTAGTGATCATGGTACTTGGTATTTACCCAGAGAATTCGAAGGCTTTATGTCCACACAAATCTGCACAAAGATGTTTATGGTAGTTTTGTTCATAATTCCCAAACTTGGAAGCAGCAAAAACATCCTTTAGTAGATAAATGGATAAACTGTAGTACTTCTAAGTATGAAATATTGTTCAGCATTAAAAAGGTATGAGCTTACCAAGCCATGAAAAGACATGAATGAAACTGAAGTGCATAGTACTAAGTGAAAGAAACCAATCTGAAAATGCTATATTCTGTATGATTCCAGCTATTTGACATTCTGTAGAAGACAAAACCATGAAGACAGTAAAAGGATCAGTGGCCAGATATTTATGGGGAGTGAGAGATACATAGCCACAGATCATTTTTAGGGCACTAAAACTACTCTCTATGACTCTATAATGGTAGACACATGGCCTCACTCATTTGTCCAAACCCATAGAACGGACAACTGCAAATGTCAACACTAATGTCTACTATTGACTGTGGGTGACAATGATGTGTCAATGTAGAATCATCAGTTGTAACAAATGCACCACTCTCACAGGAAATGTTGCTAATGGGGGAGCATTTGAGGAAGTGTAAACTTTACTAAAGCCTCAAGAAGTTTTTCTTTTAATCTATATAATCAATTAAGAGATAAAGAAAATCTATAAACACCTGTTATTAGATTGTAGCCATATGTACTCTTCAAGTTCTTGTTATCTACAGGTAGACTGTACTGGATCCTAAATTCTTCTAATTTTCTTCAATATTTTGCTACAACTCTCCAACTGTAAAACAAAACCAGCTCTTTTCCTAAAGCCCTTATATCCTGAAACTAGACAAATTTTAAGGAGCAAGCCTCATGCCTGATGTATGGGTCACACGATAATTTCACCAAACTGCCAGACATCATAATTAGACGCACTGAAGCTACAAATCAGGAGGAGATGTTTTTATGCTCCAGATAGCTTTTCCGAAGACATCTGAATAAGACTCCACATCATAAGAATTTTGCCCCTCTAAATTCTGCCTTTTTCACCTGACAGGATAACACTATAATTAAATTTTCACAATAGATAGCTTCTCCTGATAACTCAGGAAAACCTAATCTATGAAATTCTTTAATATACATTGATAGAAAAAGAAAATGTGTTTTGCTGATACTACATGCTGTACCTAGATAACTCCCTCCGTGAAGTATTGAAAAGTACGTGCACAAAATAAGAAAGCAGGCCACATAATTACAATAGGCCTCATCTATTGGCCATTTGATTTATTCCAGTGGTTTTAAGTCTAGGTCTATGACTCAAAATCATCATACACACTGGACTTGTCATATTACTATTAAATTTATGTTGTATTTTCCATTTTTAAACTTTGTATCTGTTACATCTTGTTGGTTTTTTTTTTTCTTTTTTTGCAGAAGTACAACTCCTAACTATAAAATGCTAGTCCTGCAATTTGATGTGATAACAAATGACTATGGAACAGACAAAATTCAATTTGATAATGGGCTCTAGGTAGACTAAGCCTGAGAGCCACTCTGTTCAAACCTCCCTGGTTTCTCAAATGCGGTTAAAAGAATTTTACATTGAATCCTAGTAGTCAATCCCACCCCTCCCCACATGTAAGCCAAGACATGCAACAAGGACAGGTCCAACCTGGCATTTAGGGAAAACAAAACCTAACTACTGGGTGATTAATCAGTGATGTTTTTGGAGAAAGATGTTGATCAAAAGAGGGACATGTGAAAGTGATCAGAGTTAAAACAGAGTCACTACTGTTAAGAAAACCCTGACAATTAGAGGTGGGGAAGGCCAAGAAAAGAGGTTCTCATGCTTGTATGCCTGAATAACAAAAACTATGACAGAAGACTGCAAATACCACAACCTTGAGCAAAGGCCATCACAAATTTACACCAAAAAAATTTCTACAAGGACATTTGCCTACCAACTGGCTCTCCAACCTCAAACCGGTATCACTTTTGTTATTGGTCCTTGAACCCGAAGATATAATTTTAAAACAATTGTGTAATCCTCCTCATTTTTTCTTTAAAAATACTTGTCATTTTTTACCTCTCTGAATATGCACATAGTTTACTATGACACACATATTCCCATTGCAAGGCTTTATTTTCAAATAAATATCTTTTCTTTTGGAGATCCTATCTCTGTTTGTCATTTAGGTTGACACTCCCACACATGCTCCCCCATTAGCGACATTTCCTGTCAGAGTGGCGCATTTGTTACAACTGATGATTCTAAATTGATACATCATTGTCACCTAAAGTCAACAGTAGACATAGCATTGATGTTTGCAGTTGTACATTCTAAAGGTCTGGACAAATGAGTGAGGCCATGTGTCTACCATTACAGAGTCAGAGAGAGTAGTTTAGGGCCCTAAAAATGTTCTATGACTATGTATCTCTCACTCCCCATAAATCTCTGGCCACTGAGTGTCTTACTGTCTTCACAATTTTCTCTTCTACAGAATGTCAAATGGCTGGAATCATACAGAATATAGCCTTTTCAGATTGGTTTCTTTAACTTATTACTATGCACTTCAGTTTCATCCCTGTCTTTTCATGGCTTGGTAAGCTTCTATCTTTTAAATGTGAATAGTATTTCATACCTTAAGTACCATAGTTTATTCATTTATCTACTGAAGGACGTATTTGCTGCTTCTAAGTTTGGAATTGTGAACAAAACTACCATAAACATCTTTGCGCATATTCATGTGAACATAAAGTCTTCAAATCTACATTCACATTTCCCATATGTCTGTAATATCCTGTATGGGTCAATTCAGGCAAACTTCCCACATTACCCTTGTGCACACATCCTAAAAACTATTCGGAAGATTTGAAAACTTTAAATCTCTTAAATAGTTTGGTAGCATCATTTTATCAATTAGTTCATTAACAGAAGTTCTCCATGGATTACATCAATTTTTGGGGTTAAGCACATGAGGGAATCTTTGATAAAAGTGTCTTTTTATTCTATAATATTAAACAGTTTAGAATCCCTATCCCCATGGGAGTAAATGCTGAAAAAGTATACATTACCAGAATATATCATCTACATATTCATGTTAATTTGCATTGATTTGCACAAATTTGTCCCTATTTTTCATATCAATATTTTATTTCAAGTTCTCACAGTGCAAAGAAGTTGCTATAGTACAACACATTGTTTGCACTGTAACCTGTTGACAAATCCTTCTCAAATTTTTTGTATGATTCCATTTCTCTAGCCATAATTAAATAATAACATCTAGCTTAGAATCTTGAGGATTAATGTAAAAATAGATTTTCCCCATGGGAACATCTCAGGGAAGCACAGAATCCAGGAAGACACATGTGCTTTGCTGTCAGCCTCTCATGTCTCAGACCTCATCATTTGTCATTTCTCCAGGGGAGCCCGTCTGCCTCAGGGATCATGGAAATGGAAATGAAGGGCCTTTCCCAAACACACTCATCTCCCCAGAGATGCTCACTAGAAAGGCATCATTGTTTTTGGAACCGGGCAACTGGGACAAAGTTTTTCAAAATATGATTAGCTCCCCATTGTGCAGTGTCACCATTACTAGAGGTGAAATGATAATTGCAGCCCTGTGGGGAGGTGAGGTCACAGGATCACAAAGCATATCTCTCAGACCTGCCTGCCCCCTCCCACACACTCACTGGCTGTGCTGACCTGATTGTGACGCCTGAGCCCATCAGCACTGGAAGAAACTCAGGGGAGTATTTTATATTTTGGTCTGTGAGGCATAGTCTGCGAGGGAAGTGAGTGTATTAGGAGCTGGGGTAAGTGTTCTAGTCTGAAAAAGGGATTCTTTAAGGCTGGAAACTGAGCCAGTACAAGATTCATGCAAAGAGGAGGAAATGACTGAGTTATGGGTTGAACTTATGGAAAGGATACAGGTCAAAACCATAGACCAGTCCCTAACTGTTTCTAATTTAATTTAATGTAATCCTCATTGTTCATCATTGTTGATTTTGATAAAGGCATAGATTCCTGGATTTTTTGAGGTTTTCTAGTATAATTTCAGAATTAATTTCCCAGATGCTCTACATTCCCTATAGGAGTCAGGGACACCATTTCTAGGAAGGATAGAGGTGTTTCTACAATGCCTTCATGGCTGTGATAATGGATAAGATATGGCTGATTCAATTACTTTATTCTGTCTAGAAATAGTAAATATGGGGTTTTGCCAATTCTAGGGATATTAATATTCCTAATGGAGACCGTAACTTTGTGGTGACAGAGAACACATGTTGTCCATCATTGTGGCATATGACTGTTTTTCTTCACGAAGTCAACGGGAAAGGTAGGTACCTTACCTTAGCTTTTTGTTTTTTAAAAAATTATGATTTCAGTTTTTTAAAGAACTGAATTGTTTATGATATTTTCTGTTGTTCAAAAAATTTCCAATGAAATTCCCAGGCTTAATAATCAGGCTGCTACTATTTAAATTGATTAAGAGAATAATTTTTCCTAGCTCCAATTTTCCTTTTACATAATGCACTTATGTTTTAATATATTTAACCATTCTGACATTTAAGCAATGTTATTTCATACCTTTGCATAAACAAATACTAATTTTATGTACACATTATAGGTAATTTATTAATAGCTTGTCCTCTGCAATTCTGTATCTCCTTCTTAGTCTCATGTCCCCTTGCTCAGCACACAACCATTCCCATCTGTGCCCCTTCTTAAAGAGTCTCCTCTTTTAAAACCAACATGGAATCATTTGTACATTCAACAAATTCCACTGAATCTTGTATGATTATCGTTGTAAGATTATGTAGGAAAATCAGTGCACTTATATTCTACTTGGATCTCTGAAATACAATAGATTATATAAGCCTATGAAATAAATAAATGTATTTCAATAGAAAATTATCACAATCAAAACTGGGGGAAAAGGGCACATGATAATTCTTTTAAAAATAATAGGAAAAGCAAAAATATGAAGAAAATCGTGGATGATTGAAAAAAATGTATACATGTCTGATTTGAGACAGCACAGTGATTAAGTAAACTGTCAACTTCTGACACTCCTCTCAACAAGGAGTTTACTAGAGAAATGCCATTTAGCCTTCCCATGCCTAAGATCTTCTCCCCTGTACAATGGGAATAATAGAGCACTGCAAGAGTTGCAAAAGATGTATGTAACACACTCATATAGTGCTCTTATAGTGGGGAGATTTTCTAGATTAGATAGGTAGAATATATAGAATTATAATTTCATACAATAGCAAAACTCTTACTGAAAGGAAAACAGAATTAAGAAAGTTATTAGTTGAAAATAATGGTAAGTGTTCAATAGTGAGTTTTAGTTGTTAACAAAACAGACCTCATGTTTCTATGCAGGAGTCCCTCACTCTGAACGGGATTATCAGTCACCAGAAAATGACAAATGGCCTCCGAGGATGTGGCAATAGGAATGATCTTTTTATTGCAGACCACAGTTGGACTCCTGGGGAATTTTTTTCTTCTTTATCATTACTGTTTTCTTTATTGCACCAGCTGCACATTAAGGTCCACAGATTTGGTTCTCAAGCAGCTGACTATAGCCAACTCCTTGGTCATACTCTCCAAAGGAGTCCCACAGACAGTGGCTGCTTTTGGGAGGACACTTTTCCTGAATGATGTTGAGTGCAAACTTCTTTTCTATGTTCACAGAGTGGGCAGGGGTGTGTGCCTTGGCACCACCTGTCTCTTGAGTGTCTTCCAGGCCATCACCATCAGCCCCACAGGCTCCAGGTGGGCAGAGCTGAAACTACAAGCTCCTCAATACATTAGGCCTCTCAGTATCCTGTGCTGGATCCTGAGCCTACTGGTAAATACCATTATGCTTCAGATTATGACTGGCCACCAGAATAGGAAAAACAACACAAAGGAAAAGGATTTGGGATACTGTTCTGTTATATATATGCACAGCATCATTTTTATATTCCTACCTGTTATATTGTTATCATCCTATGATGTTTTGTGTTTGGGACTCATGACCTGGGCCAGTGGCTCCATGGTTTGCATCCTGCGCAGGCACAAGCAGCAGGTGCAACACATTCATAGCACCAACCTCTCCCCCAGATCCTCCCCTGAGTCCAGAGTCACCCAAAGCATCCTTATCCTAGTGAGCACCTTTGTGTCATTTTACACCCTCTCCTCTGTCTTTACATTTCTGTTGAGTAGTTTTCCTAATCCAGCTTTGTGTCTGGTGAACACCACTGCACTAATGGCTGCTTGTTTTCCTACAGTCAGCCCCTTCATTCTCATGGGCCGTGACCCCAGGATACCCAAAATCCACTCTGCCTGCTGTCGAAGAAATAGAAAATTCTCTAAACTAATGCGATGCCTCTAAATTTTAGGTGGTTGGTCATGATTCACTATGCACTGTGCAGTCATTTATTTTTTTCTTGCAGAGGTTTAACCACCACTATGATCACTCACATAGGAGAGAGTGTGTGAACCCCAGACCCAGACCCTGCCCTCATAGGACTTATCACATGGCAAGAACAGTAGGTACAGATTGAATATTGAAAATGCTTTCATAAATTCCATTTCATTAATTACTTCAGTGCTAAAGCTTTAAGGTAAGAACTATTTTAAAACTGGACCTCAACAAATTGGGGAATAAGGGAGCTTATAAGAGTGTGTGACTTTAAACTAATTAATTTAAAATGCCCTGAAATTATCTGGGCACAGAAGCATAATAAGGGCTTAACAAAATGGCAACAATGGGTATTATCCTATCATACAAGTGGGAAGAAAAAGCAGTAACTCCACAGCAAGTGGTCCAGGACAGAGCTTGAGGGAAATAATGTATCAGACACTGCATGATATCAAAGACCAGGTTTTGTCATTTTACCTCAAATCACAAAAAGAAAGTTAGTCATTTGAAATATGTAAATTTTTTTGTGGAAGGAGAGTAGTATATTTTTTCTAATATTTTCAGGTAAAAATGTACAGAAAAACCTGGTTGGGGCAAAGTGGGCACAAGAATCTTGTTAATCGGTCTTAGTGAGAATTTAATTGACGGCTAATAAATAGGAGACTCATACAAGAAAGAAACTGCTTTCTAGAAACCTTTGAGAGTGAACTATTTTGTGTCAAGCAATGATCTAAATTAGCCTGTTCTGAAGAGAGAGACTGGATGTATCCCACCTCCTGAATTTTGGAAAGTGAACCTGTGGTGGAACCTGACCATGGAGGAGCTGAGGACAACGCCTCTGGGCACGAAGGTCATGGTCCCATTTTTATAGAGTGAGAACTGCTGGTTTGAAATAGTCAAGGCAGAATTTTTGAGAGTATTATAAAATAAACTTGGCAATTCTTTCACCAAAGTGAAAAATTAAACCAACTCTTTGTGGTTATCATTAGATAACACAGATGAAATTTATTAATTATTCAAAAATTCCAACCATACAATAAACAAAATTGACTTAATTGACAAAAATTGAACCTGGGCTTTATACCACATTTTTCAGCTATTTGGATCAATTTAAATAATTTGAACTCAAGAAATATTTTAACAAATATAAAATATTTTACTCAAAGAGGTTATCTTTGGCACCCTTTAGGTTATAATATTTTCTAAATAGTATATTAAAGTTTTTTAAATATTAAAACTAATAGTAAGCCATATTACTAATAAATATTGATATTGTTTAGACTAAAAGACAATGGAGATCTCCATATCCAAGTTGCTTACTGTGTTTGATTCAAGAGTATTTAGGTGAAATAACACAGCTGAAAACTCAATTCCCAGAATAGGAGATGCCTGACAATATGTGTGCTAGATGTCAGTCTCTGGAATTCACAACAGTAAGCATAGGCTAAATGCAAGGAATGTGCAATAGGAAACTATAATGTAGGCAATGAAATATAGAATAATTATTACATGGAATATAATAAATAAGGATAAAATTAATAATAAAATTACAGATCCAATGCCATGTTAAGAAAAATGTGAAAAGACACACTCAAATATTATTAATAATTGACAGTATGAAAACTGGTGATGGAGTTTTTAAACCCATACAGACAAATATAAACAACTGTATGGTAATAAATAATAAATTAGAAAACTGAGAGGAAAAGTTATATTTATAAAGTATTGGCTACCAAATATGAAGTAAAAAGATAATTAGAAACTTTAAAAAAATAAATTTTAAGTATCTAGAATCATTACCCAAAAATTCCAATTGTTTTAAATTATCCTTTCCCCATAATTTTAAGGTTCAGGTATTTCTCTTTGAAACCTATTTTATTAAACAGGAAAAAAGAAAGGCCATGGAAACCTTTTCTGTGGATATTACTTACATTATACCAAAAATTGAAAAAAGCCAACATAAATTATGAATTGAACATAAAATTAATGTATAGGTATATAAAAAGACCACAAATAATTCACTTCAGAAATGCAAGATCAAACAATGATAGAATCAAGTTATATTATTCAATCCCATCAAAAAGTGAGGAAACCCTCATCAAAAGGCTCAAAACAACAAATACTGACGAGGATGTGGAGAGATAGGAACACTCTTACACCACTGGTGGGACTACAAATTAGTACAACCCCTGTGGAAAGTAATTTGAAGATACCTCAAAGAGCTAAAATAAAAATACCATTTTATCCAGCAATCCCACTACTAGCCATCTATTCAAAGTAAAGAAAAGACATTCTATAATAAAGCCATCTGCACTCAGATGTTTATGGGAGCACAATTCACAGTTGCAAGGATGTGGAGGCAACCCAAGTGCCCATCGATCTATGAGTGTATTAATAAAATGTAGTATATGTATATCATGGAATACTATTCAACTACAAAAATCAACACTGATCTAGCACCTATATTATATTATCCTGGATAGAGATTGAGCCCATCCTTTGAAGTGAGGTATCACAAGGATGGGAAAACATGTACTCACCATCAAACTGGTACTAACTAACCAACACTAAGGTGTTCACATGGTAGCAATACTCATGGGGTGCGGTTGGTTAGGGTGAAGGGTAAACCAACAACTAATGGAAGTGGAAAGCACTGTATGGGGGAGGGACATGCTTGTAGCCCTGGCTTGGGCAGTGCAAATGCATGACATGTAACCAAAATGTTTGTATCTCCATAATATCCTGAATAAATAAAAACAAAAGTGGGCAAAAGACATGAACAGAAGTTTTCCAAAAGAAGATAGAGAACTGGGCTACAAACTTTAAAAAAAATGCCCAACATCACTAATTATCAGGGAAATGCAAAGGAATGGAATTCCATTGCCTACATTATAGTTTCTTATTGCACATTCCTTAAAACTACAATGAGATACCATATGACCCCTATCAGAATGGCCATTATTAAAGAGTCAGACAACAGTACATACTGGCATGGATACACAGAGAAAGGATCGCCATACACTTTCAGAGAGATCGCAAACTAGTACAATCCCTATGGAAAACAGTGTGGAGATTCCCCAAAGACCTAAATGTAGACCTGCCATTTGACCCAGCAATCCCACTGGTGGGGAACTACCCAAACAAAAGGAAGTCATTTTATTAAAAAAAAAAAAAAAAGACATCTGTACTAAAATGTTTAGCACAGCACAATTCACAATTGCAAAGATGTGGAACCAACGTTAAGTGCCCATGCAATCATGAGTGAATAAAGGAAATGTGGTGAATATGCACACTATGGAGCACTACTCAGCCATAAAAAAGAATGAGATAATGTCTTTTGCAGCAACTTGGATGGAACCGGAGACCAACATTCTATGTGAAGTATCTCAAAAATGGAAAACCAAACATCGTATGTTGTCACTAATAAGTGGGAGCTAAATTATGAGTATGCACAGGCACAGAGACATATATAGGATCTTGGAAACCACAAAGGGGGTAGGTCTTGGAGGAGGGATGTGGGATAAAAATTTACCTTTTGGGTACAATAAACACTATGCTGGTGACAGGCACACTGAAAGCCTTGACTTAGGCCCTATACAAGCTATCCATGTAATAAAAACATCTGTACCTCCGTAGTATTTTATATTTAACAATAACAACAAAAATAAAAACAACAGAACAGCAGGGCCAGCATTCAGCACGTAGGTCCTGTCCTGTCCCCAGCCAGCTCCCAGGCAGGTTGAACTCACAAGATCAACATTCTTCCACGCAGCTCTTTCTGTCTGTTTTGAAACTAGACTAAATAAACTACAGCATATTTGGCTGGTTTCATCAAGAGCAAAGGGAGTAAATTTAGAGGGAAGAGTTACACAATGCATATTTAAGAGGAAATTCTTTCTGGTTATATGAACTGGAATATGCACACCCTGCAGTTCTAAGGCGTCCCCAAAATGGGACCTTCCAGAGGTCTGCAGTGTTCTTCCATGTGCTCTTTTATTGCCATCTCTCTGTTCTTGGTGACAAAAGAAAGATATCCCTTTAGCAAACATATATATACAATAGATGCTGGCAGTGGGGTCTTGAAGGTTCCCAGAGTCTTCCTGGGCTAGGCTATCCCCAAGGTAGCCTCAAGATGACAGATTCTGGGGTTTTGAGTTTACAGCTCTTGGTACCTGGAACTAGGATGACCCCTACTTAATGTGGAGGGGGCTGCGTGAGAAAAAGCCTCAAATACCTCCCCTGTAAATGTGGGCACTTGGCCTGGATGACCTCAAAGGTCCCACAGGCTTGAAGAAGTATGTGTTGGCTTTAGTTTTCCATCAGTTACCCCCTGTGCTGCCAGGCCCTTGGAAAACATTTTCTACTCCCTGGAGATCCTTCAGAGCAGACAGCAGCCTGTGGGTTTGTAGAACTAAGTGCCCGGGTAGTGCTGGATGTGGCACGGCATTGACCACATCTCTGAGGTCCAGGGACGAGACTATCTGTGTGACAGCCTCAGGGTCCTCATTTGTGAGTGGGGCCTGAGTCACTGCCCTGGCTGGGCTGAGGAGACCTTGGGAGTGAACTGGACACTACAGAACAGTGGAGGCAAGCAGGAAGAAGGGGAGGCTTCTGAGGTCGTTCCCAACATCCTGGAGCCTGTAGGTCGCACTCACTTTCCCTGCAGTGTTCAGAGAGAGACACTACCTTTTTGTTTGTGTAAGGACACACAAACAAAAGTGTGCCTTGTTTACTCTACCCCCCATCCTGGTGCTGCAGTGACTGTGAGGAGACACCAGGGGCAGACAGTGCCTACTGTGTTCTGCTGGAGCAACTGGAGCTGGCACCATGGAGGCTCATTTGCTGTGTCCCCTTCCTGGGACTCAACATGCACCCTTCATTACCAGCATTCCTCTCCACAGTGTGAGCTGCTCAGAGGTAAGAAGTGGCCCAAGATCACCTCATTTACTCAAAGCAACCATGCCCCAAGTTGTCACCCTATGCAGGGGATACATTAGGCCTTTGCACAATGATGAAAGTAACCAACACAGTCCTGTCCTGAAAGAGCTCGTGGTCTGGACAGGGAGATGGACAACTTCATGAAAGCGAATGCGTGAGGGAGAGAATAGCAAGTGCTCTAGTGACACAAAGCAGGTCCTGGGACAGAGTGCTGGGGCCACTAGGTGTGCAGGTGTGAAAAGCCTCAATGAGGTGACATTTGTGCTGTGACCAGAAAGACAAGAGGAGGCATCCCTTCACAAGTCTGGGAACAGGATACTAAGAGGGATGGACTATTCCTCAGAGACTTGGCGGCATAAATGAATTTGGCCACAGAGGAGGTGAGAAAGGCATCCAGTGTGGCTGGAGGGAGCCTGGGCGGAGAGGAGGGAAGGGAAGGAGGAGGGCAGGGCCACACCCCAGAGCCTGGAAGACTCTCCTATGTAACAATAATTGTTGCTGGTGACAACAATACTGAAACTTATAGCTATAACAACAAGCATTGTAATTATCTGAAAGTTTGTGTGTTTTTGGATTCTGGCATGGCTCAGCTGCGTATCTCTGCCTCAAGGCCTCTTGGGAGGCTGGGGCTGTGATCTCAACTGAGGGAGGCTGGAAAGGATCTTCCTCCCAGCTCACTCACCAGAAATCAGGAGGTTTCAGTTTTGACTGAGGGTCTCAGTGTTTTTCTGTCTGTAGATCAGGCCTTTCATGGATTCTTTGCTGCCGGGGTCTCTCCATAGGGCAACTAATAATACCTCAACTTTCCTGCAGTGAGGGGTGGGGAGAGAGACAGAGAGAGAGAAAGGGAAAGAGGAGAGGGAGCAATACAGAAATCACAGACTTTCATAACTCAATCTTGGAAGTGACATCTCATCACTTTTGCCATATCCTCTTGGGTAGAATCCATTAACTAATCCCAATCCACTAAGAGGTGAGAATTACATAAGAACTTATAGACCAAGAGGTGGGGAGTTGCTGGGAGCCATTGGGTGACAGGCAGGTGGGCCATGCCACACAAAGTGTTAGCTCTGCATTAGGGAGAGTGCAGGCATGGAGGAGACTCCACTGTGGGGCCCAGAGATGTCCAGGGAATCCTCCTGCCCAAACCCTACACAGGTAACTGCCCACAGCTCCCTCCCAGGCATTTCCTTCTTGAATGACTCAGTCTCAATCCCAGAAATATGGGACTCCTCCCCTCCTCTACCCCCAACTGTGGAGTCCCAAACTGACCAGTAACAAATAGGTTTTTATATATGTATAGGAATATGTGAAGAAATTCTATATTCTGTTTTCACTTCATGTTACAGCCTTGCATTCAACTAGCATTCATATTGCTGTAACCATCCCTCCATTGCCCCACCAGTGTGAATGTGAGTCAGCCCTGAGCCTGGATGAGACCTGCAGGTGGCACCATCAGGGCAGGCAGGCTGGAGACCCCAGAGGAGGCCCTGGTGCCTCCCTCAAGAGCAATGACCCCTTCCATGTCCCCACCTTCCTGGGCACCTCCCAAATGTTCACCCCCACCCACCAGGTCCTTACCTGCTGCTCAGAAAGTATCCCACTGTGGTTTTGATTTGCATTTTTCTGATAATTAGTAATCTTGAATATTTTTTTTTCTCATATCATGTTGGCCATTTATATGTCTTCTGAGAAATGTCTATTCAGATATTTTGACTATTTCTAATTGAATTATTATTATTTTGCTATTGAGTTGTTGGAACTCCTTATATATTTTGGTTATCAGTCCCTAATCAGAGGTATAGTTTGGAAATATTTTTGCTCATTCTGTGGGTTGTCTCTTCTTATTGTTGGTTGCTTCCTTTGCTGTGCAGAAGCTTCTTACATTGATGTAATCCCATTTCTCTGTTTTGCTTTGCCTGCCTGTTCTTTCGAGGTCTTATCCGAAAATAGTCTTTGCCCAAACCAAGGTCCTGGAGCATTTTCCAATCTTTTTTTCAAGGAGTTTTAGAGTTTTCAGTCTTAAATTCAAGTCATTAATCTATTTCAACTAGATTTTTGAATCTGGTGAGAGAAAGGGGTCTGGAAAACATGGCCAAACATCTGAGATGGGTTTCAAAGGAAGACGCCAGGGCCACCAGGTCCCAGTCCAGCCAGGTTACTAAAAGTCAAAGCTGCAGAGAGCAGGGAGCCAAGAATGAATGTACATACGCTCTCCTCCCATACCTGGATTCAGTTGTATCT